AAATCTATTTTATGTTTATGTAAATTAATATTTACGCATATAAAGACTCTTTCGGTATCAATACTTAGTATATTCAATTCACTTGTACATTCAAAATCCAACGGAAGCTATTCTACTAATAAAAATCTGTATATTAATAAGTATATATAGTAAAATGCTATGCCATTAACCCTCGTAAAGCGATCATTTACGCTCATAAAAAATTCAAGTTTAAATTAAACCATCAGTCTAGCCTAAAATATTATTTCCTTTCTTATTTTCTATTATTACGAAATACGTAAATACTAGTATGACTGATTTTACTAGATGTATCATTGACTTCAAGATTGAGTATTTGAAATTTATTTTACTACACTCACAATTTGATGTCATTCCACTTAAATTCCCTTTTTCTGGACAATTCACAATGGAAAATAATAAATTTTATTGACCAGAAAGGTCAGTTATGTAAAGTTATAACAGCCTTTAAATATCACTATAAACCTAGTTATTGATCAATGATACCTATTATTGTTCGACAGAATAAAAGCATAAGCTGATCCAGTATCATATTCATTAATCAAAATTATAGAAATAAACAATTATAAGAAGCAAGACAGGCACAGCCATATGTCAAATCAAGATTAAAAATCGAAAACAAAATATATGAAATTAGGCACTTTAATTGACTAAAGTCATTAATATCGTCATGAGAATATGATAATATTTCTATTTCTATAGCAATTTATCTCAAAGTGGGTAATCAAATATAAAGATTAGTTCAATCTCATATTTGCTCTTGCAATTCTTTGATTTACAAGCAATGTAATGTCTGTTGCAGAGGCTATCATATTTTTCTTCTCAATCGATTTCATGATCGTTGCCATCATATCCAACAATGGTAACTTGTCTTTTATAATAATAAAAGTTTAATAATCTCCTGATCTATTGTAATTCAAGAGTAAAATGTTGTTTTTATATATTCTTTCCACTATTCATCCGTCTAACCTTGATCGTACTATTGAACTGCAAAATTGAATAGGTAGAAGTTATATTAAACTCCTCTCTTGAAGTGATAAAAAAATAGAACCAATTCAATAAGTCAATATTTTTCTCCATTGAATAATATATTGATCAAGTTATGATAATAGCGCTAAAAATAAAGGCATAAACCCAATATTTCTTTTTCCCATCGTTAAGACAATTCATTATAAGTCTGTATTTGATCAGCATCATTTTGAATTTAGAAACAGGTGCAACGAATAAATTAATAACAGAAATTTTTTTAATTTTGTGTTTGATCGCTAACATTCAATGGCAAGTATAGCTGAGATGTATCACCATCATTTAACTATTGTTAACGATTAAAAATTTTTCAATTGATAACAATATCAAAAGGAAGTCGGTTGATAGAACTAAATGATCACAGACATGTTAACTACTTCATATAAGCAACCATAAACCACTTCTAGCCTGCACTAAACTTGTATAGTCTATAGGAATACAGCAGCTAATTTCAATATCTTTCACAATTTCATAAATTTTAATTACTGGTAAAAAAACGGCAGTAATTCACCTAGGTTAGTGTTTTTCATTAAATAAATTTACGACTAGATTAATTAAATCAAATATTAAGCTGACTAAGGACGCATTTCTACATCTTCAAGATTGGAACTGACAAAACAGAAGAAAAGACGGAGAATTAAACATTCCTAATCTTGCTATTTAAAGTTTCATTGCGCATTAAAAAGGTATTTTTAACAAGAATCAATTAACTTCTACATTGCTAATATACAAAGGAAATCGCTACGAAAGAATCTTTGAACATTTTAATCGTAAATATATCCGATTTTCCAAGTTTTCAACATCAGGTGAAGTTATATCTATAAATCCTTCAAATATATCCTAACATTGATAAAACAGTTCGTAATTTCTCGTTTCTTATTAAGAGCAAAGCTAAGTATGTTATTTTAGTTTATTATTTCTAATATTAGACCGAAACTGTTTTTACCATTAACTACCACTCCCAACAAACTGCATCACATATACCTTGAATATTATCATACGGTTCAGCTACAAGAAATTTAAGATTGACTACTTATTTATAGGGTAGTAAAGGTGTATTTACATCAATATCATCCTCAAATTTATTAAGATTGGAATGACAACATGTACTTAAAATCGGATAATGTCTTAACTAGCAATTTTGAACATATTATATTAAAATTGACCATGATGTACAGTACATCCAAAAGAAATTAGATCAACTTGATATATAGCAATTCCAATCGAAATCTAATAATTGATTAGGAATTATTCTAGTATCGGCAATACGATAACAAAAGGATAAGAGTACTATAATCATGGTGGATTATATTTTCTAGATAGCTCCCGGTAGCTAAAATTGGTAATAGAGTACGTAGTTTATTGTAGTTATAATTACTGCCTATAGTAGCATAAATAATAGAAATAGATATCCTGACAAATCAAACTCGAAAGCTTAGAATCTGATTGAGGTCGTTTTATTCACTGCTTAATACTTTAAACTTGGAAAATTTTTTGCAAATGATAAAATAAAATCCTGCTATAAATACGCAACATGTTCTATCGTCTTAATTTCGTAGATCACGTTACTATAGGTATAATAGGAAAATCAAACAATATTGAATATCAATCCTTCCAAATCCCTTGATTTCTATATTCAATGAGGATTTCCACCAAGCTGGGCTACATAGTACTAGATCTATTCAATTAAAATCTATAATTTACGAACTTTAATAGGATTAACCCACACTATTCTCATATTTAGACAACATCAAACTAATGTATTCCAATTATCTTAAGAAATAGATAGATTTTCGGAAAACGATAACATTAAATATGAAATACTACTTTTGAATATAACACGGATATTATTACTAAACGTTAAATATTCCCAACATATGTTGGCCACGATTGAGGATAAATATTGTTTAAGATTATATAACTTAATTACAGTAGAAGACCAAGACAAAAATAATACGATATCTCAGATAGAGCTAAAATGAAAACAATACCGTAGAGTAAAATTTCATTTAACGTAATTAACAACCAGTAAATTATCTGATGATTACGGTACTATGTAAGTCAAAAATTGATAGACGTTCTAATACTCTGATACATCAATACTCATGTAAAATGCCCATCTTTTCAAAATTATTATTAAAGTATTAAAGCTAAGCAGGCACGTAGCATTCGAATCAATGCTGGTAAAGATCAACTGTCAAATGTTAGGATTAAATAAATATAATTGATCCTCTGCTAAATAATGCTATCATTGTTATTGAAAATGCAAGAAATAATAAATTAATCAACTGTCTTCTATTTGATCAGTTTTTCTTGCAATATTCCCCATTGGCCGTTATTAATAGTTGAAGTACTAACCATTAAGTTACACGACACTGTAAGTGTTAGAATTAACCGCTATTAAACAAACTATAGCTTAAAATACCAAAAGTTAGTCTATAAATTTTCTTGCTAGAGTCTTTTCTCATCTTTTGACTGAAATCTCGAAAACTTTGAAATTTTAAATATGAAATATTCGCATACACGCCTTATTTACTTTTCATAATTGCATTGAAATAAAATCTTCAACGATGCTTGGTATTATAGAATAAATGCAATACTAGATACGCAATTGATATTAATCAATATAAATTCTACTTAAAGTATGCTTAGTTGTACTATCGAAGCTAATAGAATACTACAATATTGCTTTAGATTAAGACGATATTCTGTAATAATCTTAAATTTTCTATCTTAATTAGTAAGTTTATATATTATCAAATTTATTTTTAGTTCTACTATTGTCATAATACAGTTTTCGAAACTCTATCGCTATCTTTGGTATGCTTATTCCCTTATTTTTCCAGTTTATTATCTAAATTCTATCCTTTTATATTGTAAGATTTTAAGCACTTTAATTACCACGATACACTTACTGGTTCAGTGTGTATCATAAAGATAAAGAATACAAAAGTTCATACTATCTTAAAAGCTAGGAATAAACTTGAAAAGCTGTAATACTTAGACATTAAAATAGATATTGATATCCTTGGATGTCACGTATGATAGCAAATATATTAATTATTAACGATTGTTGCGCATAATGAACACAAGAAGCTTAAAATATGCTATCAAATAATAAATATATAATGTATATTGGATATTTCAAGTCAATCTAATATCAGTGATGATTAATATAACAGTACAGTGAGCTACGTTTCACCACAAGGCTTGAAGGCAATTGAAATGCAAATTATAAATAGACATTTTGTTTTCCTCACAGAATAACTTAAACCACAATAATCATACACAATTACTCTTAGGATTCACTAAGTAATATTAATTATTAAAACTATCGTACCGTATAATATTATTATTTAACAAGCATACTCATTAATCTACTGTTGAAAGATTCATTAGGGTCTAATTTAATGCTTACTCGAAAAATTAATATGCACTATGCATTTCTGCAAAGATTACAGCATATACTTAAATAAATTACATAAAATTATCCTTACACAAAACTACAGTTTATGATGCCATAATATCTATGCCATACTAATTATCAGAGCGATGAATTACTGAATAGCGAACCCTACTACATTGAGCAATGTGCAAATATTAGTGATTGGGGAAATCAGTTGCAAATTTAGCCTAAAATTTTAACTGCCAAAAATCTGGTAATAGCTATAGTTGGATAGATATAGTTCCCTAAAAATCAAACACCGATGAATTAAAGCACTGAAATTATTCGATTCCAAAAGTTACAGCATCAGTTTAACGATAATACACGTATCATCCCTTTTTAAGCAATATTAGATATTCTCGTATAGTATATACAATTTTGTTTAACAGAATTTATGATAACGATACGAAAATAAATAAAGAACTAAATAATTTTTCTAATTATGCTTTAATTCATTCCTATATTTAATAATTACAGTATTCTAGGAAAGTATTACATCGATCTGAAAAAAATGTCAACTACCGACAGTTCGTCTGTAGTAGAAACGGCCGAACCAATCGCAACATCCGAATGGAATTCTAATATATCTACCGAAGCAACAAGTGAAGCTGAACTAACGCCAACAGCGGAAGGAAAAAGTTTGGCCACCGAACCATACACAATCCACCCTGAAACGGAATCAACACCAGAAGTAGAAACAGCAAATACATTGCATGCTGAAGTTACACCTGAAGGAGAAGCAGTATCGACTCCATATGTTGAGACAGAGGTTACGCCGGAGGCAGAACTAGGATTGACTCCACTTGCTGAAGTGGAAAGTACACCCGAAGGAGAAACAAGTGCAACCCCTTTCGCTGAAACAGAAGCTACACCAGAAGCTGAAGTCGCTATCATTTCTGTCCCAGAAGGAGAAGTGACTCCTGAATTAGAAACAGTAGTAACTCCTAATACTGAAACGGAAACTACAGCCGAAGCTGAATCCGCTACGAATTCATTTCCAGAAGGAGAAGCGACTCCTGAATCAGAAGCAGTAGGGACTCCTTATGCTGAAATAGAAACAACACCAGAAGCTGAATCCGCTATAACTTCTTTCCCAGAAGGCGAAGTAACTCCAAAATCAGAGATAGGGGTAACTCCTTATGCTGAACTGGAGAGTACGCCGGAAGCTGAAACTGCTATAACACCATTTCCTGAAGTAGAAACGACACCAGAATCAGAAATAGGCATAACCCCTTATCCTGAAATGGAAACTACACCAGAAGCAGAAACTGAAATAACTCCATTTCCAGAAATAGAAACAACCCCAGAATCAGAATTAGGAATAACTCCTTATCCTGAAATGGAAACCACTCCGGAAGCTGAATCTGCCATGACTGCATTCCCCGAAGTAGAAACAACACCAGAATCAGAGCTAAGTGCGACTCCTTACCCTGAAATGGAAATGACACCTGAAAGTGAATCCATGTCGACACCATATCCTGAGTTTGAAAATCACCCTAATGCAGAAACGGCTGTTACCCCTTATGCTGAGTTTGAATTTACGCCCGAAGCAGAACTATCTACTACCCCAGAAGAGGAATCACCTTTATTACCAGAATCAGAAGTAACATCAGCACCTGAGGTTGAACTTTCATCCATTGGTGAAACAAGTCCAGAAACTGAAGTAGAAGTTACTGTATCGGGTGAACCAGAGACAGCTGTATCTCTTGCTGAACCAACACCTGCATGGACGGAAGCAATTCCGCAATGGGGTGCAGCCTGGCCAATCCATATTTATTTTTTTGGTGCTATTTTTATTCTAATAGCACTATTCGCTTTATATAGCTTAGTTAAGCCACGAAAGAGAAAATTCAAAGTTATTGGAATGCTATTCAATCGATTGGTATTGTTTTTCTTATTTGTTTTTGCCACAACACGCGCAATATGTCTACTAGTAGATCCATATCACTCCAAGGGTATTATGCCGCCACTATTATACAATATTATTTGGGCATTAGGTAGTCCTTGCTTAATCTCATCATTGGGCGTTTATATGATTTTACTTTTAGATGCAAATTATGCCGTGAAAACTTTGCGTTTAGCAAAACTGAACAATTTTTTAATTGTATGTACGATTTATTTTCTGTTGGTATTTGCCGCTGAATTTATGGCCTATTTCACATCGGCTAATTCTATGGCTTCGAGGATTGTAACATTTATATGTCAAGCGTTTTACTTCTTATGGGGAGCATTCTGCAACATCGGTTTTATTATTGCTGCAGTTATGCTGCATCAGCGTGCCATTTTAACAGCCATTGCATTGGCTGAATCAAGAAGATTTATTGCCAAGAATTTCGCTAAATCCAATAAAATGTCCAAACTATTTACTTTATCTGTCTCTTGTTCCATAATTGGACTAGCATTATCAGCAATTCATTTCTATGCTATGGTAACTTTGTTTAACATGTTTGTTCCTCATCTAAGGGTTTATCCATGGCCTTGGTGGGCATTTCAAACATCTTATCGTATGATTGAAGTTATTGCAGCATTTATATTATGCAAAGTTGCTACCGTGGCATCAGCAGTGAAGCGCTATAGTCATATTCATCGAGAAGGCTTCATAGCATCAATCTGCATTAAATTAATGACTTGTTGCGGCAGTTCAAATCGAACAGATTCAGAAATAAGTGCAGTAACTGATATGGATAATCCTTCGTTTACGAAAGGCCAATTAACACTCCTTCACTTAGATTAGTTGACGAATAAACAAGGCATCGACATAAAGATATCGGTTGTAACTGTTAGAGACCTTAGAGTTTTATCATCGATCAAGATGTTGTTTCTGTAAATTATTCTTCTAATTAACCTAAACTAAAATTCACTTTCGTATTATTAATTGATCTATTCCATACGGCGTAATAATGGAACAAGCTGAATCTTCAAATCAACTTTAAAGCTTATCTTGTGGCATTCTAACGTCAACTATTTCATTTATATGATACGCTAGTATCTTAGCCGTGTAGACACGCTTTTATATCTAATCAAGTAGAATGTCTAGGAACTACTTGCAAAATTTCTTGTATTAATGGCTGCTATGCTTGTATACTGTAAAACTTTTTAGTTACTTTTCACAATTTTATTGTTATTATAAAGACTACGGTTATATTTATAGATTCTCGTTGCTTCCAATAATGATAATAATGTCTTCTTTTAACCCTAGATTGTTTTGGTTTAAAGGATCACATACGATATTATTGACAAGCATATAACTTGACAAATAGCACCAGTGCATTATTTCACCTAGCATATTAGTAGCTCGCTATATCTTATCATATAATTGCTTATAGAAATAATTCTGCGTGTGAGTACATTCTGTTATGCTTAAGCTGAGTATCTTTCAATTATTTATTTTATGATTGTTTACAATTTAGCTATTAAGCTGATATTTTTCGATCAATTTAAATAGCTCATTAATATATGATTCTAGAAATACAGTAGCAATATTCTCCTACAAATGTTAAACTAAGAATCTATAGCAAAGTTTATTTGATCATAAAATGTAGTTCAATTCTTAAAGCATCATCTTTATTAACGGCAATGTATAACCCGTTTTACCGTTATTTTAAATTTGTGCAATTTTTAGATAATATTAGTGGTACACTAATACTTGGTCCGTCTAATTATAATCTGTAAGCTTATACAATTGTTATAATATTTTAAAACTTTAAGTTTTAAATCCACTTCCAAATCTTGTCAGTGTGTATATCTTATTAACTAATGTCGCCCTGAATTACTAGGCTATAGCTGCTTGGTTCTATTTTTTCAATTATCTTCGTAACAATTCATCCATCATAATGCCTTTCAAAGTCTATCTTGCAGGAATGATAAATTAATCTTGTTTTTGTACTCGAATATTGTTACTGTTGTTATCTTCTATAAATTAGATTTAGCTAGAATTAAGCTATTTCAATTCAATACCAAGCTAGTTTGTTTAGTTTATGACTATGCTTCCTGCATTATAAAAACTTATTCGAATAATGGTAATTTTAAATGTTGAAAATGATCATAAATAATTTTTAGTATATGACTAAAAAGTATGAGAATATGAACTACAGCGGTATTCGATCAAGTAAGGAATACCAATCTGTTAATTAGACGAAATATAAAATCTAAGAATTAATTGAAAACTATGGATTACCTTCAAAATTGGGATCATTTCTTTGCAACTGTTATTTTTCTTATCTTTGGCTTATTACTGCATTAAGATTTGATTCATTCTTTAGAAAACGGTCATATATAAACTAAGTACCATGCCTTAATTTAAAATCTTAAATTTGCGTTACGTTCTGACATTGTTGTTTGTTCTGCTTATGTTTGATTATGGTTTTTCTCGCTTATGGGTTTGATCTTTGCTCTTTACAATAAACTGCTTAAAAATCGAATTCTACAACATATTTGCTAGCCATTATTTTTAAATAATATGGTAATTACTTGTAAATCTTCTGCTTACGTCATTATACTTTAATTCATTAATGTTCGCATATTAAATTATTGTTTTATTTCTTTCAATTTGATCAAATTTCATCATTAATTCTATAATTAACGTCACGAAAACAAAAATGATAGCAGTATTAGACTACTTATAAACTAAATAAACATTTATAAGTAATAAATGGGTGTTACTTATCAATCATCCACCTATGACGGAGTTAACTAGGAATAGACAAATCTATTGACATCATATTCCTAAATTAATGATAACATTGTAGACTGTGTATTTATAAAACCTGTACTTATAATTATTAAGTTAATAATATCGATCATCTACAACCTATTTAGATGGAAAGCAGGCCAAATTGCTAGCATCCTTGATACAAAATATTTACAGTATTGTAAAGCCACATACTATATAGGTTTTATAAACATTTATGACTTTCAAATTCCTAATCCTAACCATCCATGACTCAATTAGTTAAATAGTACAGTAAAACTGTAAATCTGAAAATAATAGCACAAGAGACTATACAACCAGAATATAAAAGCAAAAATTTGTAATTTTAAATCAATAATAGTTCCGATCTTATACAACATCATTTATTAAAATACCGACTAATCTAATAGATTGGATTCTCATTTCATTTTAATCGCGTTTATATTATCGAAATGTATGAATAATTTAGCTGAAATTATCGTAGCAGAGACTAAAAGTTATTTATTATGTTCAACATTGTTGTCAACTATATGACGAAAGATTTGGAATATAGAGTGAATAATCTGCAATGAACGGTCGTAATAATTACATTTTCAGAGTATTTTGTTCTAAAGATTGTCAACTACAACGATTTGCAATTATCAGCGAATAAGCATCCATATCAATGTAAATATACTTTTGCCAACTCATTTACTATAACTCTGAAATTGCTTATATTGCCGATTTGTGTTCAAGTTATGTATGACATATAGCAAAAAAAAGTACATTCAATTAAGATCCAAGTAATAACTATAAATTTATTATTTATAACAATAGCTGCAAAATTCGTTAAACCATAGTTACCAATGAATCGACGTATATAATTGTCTTCTACAATGTCAAGGAAACCACTACATAATATTTGTTTTATTAATACTAAATAATTTTAAAATTGATTTGAAGCTTTATTATAAGGGTGCAACTAAGTATGGGGGCTAGAGCCAGGAATTAGAACAATGCATTACTGCTTTTTTAATTATTTACAATAACATTGAAAATTATTCATTTTAAAACAGTTATATTTGATGAAATATATTTATTATAATATAAGATACTACGTCAATCAGTGTATAGTTGCTATAAAATTATACATGTAATCATCATAAATATTAATTGGAAAAGAAATGTAGATGACTGTAATTACATAGAACATTTACCCTAAAGTCGTTACCGTATCTCCTATTGGTACAGAATTATTAAAATATTGTATAAATCAATCAATAAAGAACTCAATAAAGAAATTTATTTATACTGAAAGGTAGTAAAGCATAATAATAATTATACATCTAAGCTTCCAAAAATCAATTGATCAATCGAACATAAGATTAATGTACCAAAATTTATGCATTAAAAGGTATTTAATAGTTCATTAATTGCAAAGATTTCATTAATTTTTAACAGCAATTCTACTTATTTCTGTCATTAATTCTATAAAGATACTAAATAAAACTTTAAATGCATGTTAATCAATAATTTTATAAGAAATTTTCAAGTACCAGTCGAAAGATAGACAGATAATTTTCAAAATATCTTCTAGTAGTTATCATTTAGCGCTAAACAACAAAGCATACTATTTTCTATTTTGAGAATGTGCTGTTCAGAAACAGGGAATTTTATAATTTTACCTAATCATTATCGCAATTATTGATTAATCTTAAAGAAAGAATTTTCATGAGTCACGAGAGAAAAACTATGTAGTCATATCTACCAGGATAAATAAATCTAATAGTCTAATAAGAAGCCAATCGCCATACTGCTGTGATGAAATCTTGTCTAGTTTTAGCTAAAGTACATTTTCATCAGCAAACCTCATGATAGCTAGTTCTAATCATGCAAAATTCATGGCTTTGATATTCCAAATCTAATTATACACAAGGACATGTACACGTTGTGACTAAAATATTTTGTAGCTTTTCTCCATATGTGAAATAAACGAAAATTATCGATACCCAATAAGTAATGCAACGATACAATCAAGATGACACATTCTGCTTAATTAATCTAAAACTCCAGGATAATACAATCCACATCATGGTATTGTAGCCTACCAATACACATGAGTAAGAATGTCCATCCATATTAATGCAAGTCTTGCCGTGCAAGGACAGAACTAGTCTAACTAGTACCGTCCACTAAAGATGGTATCTTCTATACATACATCTGCTGACTATAGTTAGAACAATCGATATGGTATCTCGCCTACTTCGTATTAATGATAACCAAAACTTGTCATTCATTCCTCCCCTTACAATCTTTAAATTATTAATGTGTGTCAAATATGATTTAACTATCGAGGATTTTTTACGGACTTGCTAGGTTAGGCCATCAAAAATTCTTCAACAGTCGTACTTTTACAGTGGCATACCTAAACTGTAAAGTATATTTTCCTACGTACTACACGCTACGATGCGTAAACAAATGATTTGATTAAAAGGTTATAATTTAAATTACTATGTAAGATCACATACAAGTATACGAGCATTTTACACTGCTATATTTCTAAAATACACACATCTATATCTGCGTAGCATGTATACAGTGGAACGAGTAGCTAGTCGCGGAACAAGTAGAGCTAAGTAACTTAATAATATCTCAGCTTCTTCTAACATCAGGTAAATATGTTACACTCACAGTTTTAATTTTAGTATTTTAATGTAGCAAGTTATCGTTTATTATTCGCTCTGGAGCAAAAAATTTTCATCTCATGAGCTACTAATTTATCAATAATTCCTTATAGCCGTCAAAATTTTACTATAATATTTCAAAATCTGCTGTATAATCTGGGTTAAATAGTCTTAACTCCATTAGGATAGCACAAACATATTATCATTCCACAACATATACTATGGTAGATTGCAATCCTGAATTAACTTTTTAAAGCTAATATTATAGCCCTATAAAATTTAATTTAATGCTTGCATATAAATTACCTGTAACATACACACGCCCAATATGTATAGTACACTACGGAACACATAGTAGAACCAGGCGTAGCCAAGCGAGCTCGATGCTACGACAAGTGATAATTATCTAGGATCATATTCAAACTTAAATAAATATTTAACGTTGACAAACTTTAATATTTGCAGCTTGCTCTTATAATTGATCACTTACTACGCTTTCTAGAGCAGGAAATCTTATATTTTTATTGCCAAATTTAGATTATTCTTACTGGGTGTCCGACGTAACGCATGCGTGACTATTGCAGACGCTAATTAGGCGCGGCTTCTATGGAAACCGTTGAGTAACGTGACCGTTAAAAACATAATATAGGCCAAGCATCCATACATATGTCTATTTGACTGCTCAAATCGTAGGGATACTTTATAAAGAGGCATGAAAAGATTGTAATTGAAGACTATATTGGAATAGTAAATTACTTTCATAGATAAATACAGCATTAGCTTTGATAGTGTTGAATTTACAACTGTGAAGACTTTCGAAGTTCCTTTGGTGGATCAATATTACATGAAAATAAATGACGCAATTTTGCGACTGTTATGGTAGAAGATTCTCGCTATGTAAATTTATGTTAACAGACCAATATTTAATCGCATAGATTTTTACATAGTTTTCTGATTCGATATTTCATCGATTGGTATTAGCCATTAAAAATTCGACATTAAAAGAGTAGTGTGCTCTACTCAACTTTAGTGATCGACAATTAACGTTACTATATTGAGGCCAAACTCTCACCCTACAATTAATTCTTGGTGATCCAGCAAGATAATTTCATTCAATTTAGAGTTGTTGTTAACATCTCTGATATTTCAAACTTCATTCAAATTCAATATCAGTTTCAGTCCTCTATCATTTCTGGCGATCAGTGAACGCTATCCTTGATTCCAGACTAGTAAAACTGCAAGTTTCTAACATTAATTATCAATTTACTACCTTTAGATGAAATGAATAACGCCTATAGGAGTATACAGTAACATTTTGAGTTGGGCGTTTAGATTGATAATCGTCAAAGCTTGCAAATGAGTCGAAATTGGAGAGGATTATCAAAAAGGAAATCATCCGCTGCCGGTGGCCAACATGAAAAGATTGAAACACCTGCAGAAAGAGAATTCAAAAATAGAAATAGAAAGGATAAGAAAAAGGATGGAGCGGGTAGCAAATTAGTAAGTACAAATTTTATACGGCTAGAAAGTACATCACTATCATATTCATCATTAACAACGGATAGCAATTATAATAACCATATTCGGTTTAATAATGTTACATTAAGTTCGTTAAGAATGACTAAGGACAGTAATCACTTGAAATTACAATAAATTCCATATTTTATCAACAAGCCACACACAATAAAACGTATGTTATTATGTAATGTAATGTTATATTACAGCACATTGTGATCTAAGACACTAGCTAGCTAAAATAATTTATATAATCTGATGAATATTTCCGTTACTAAATTTTATATGGTTCATTGCTGAGTTTTAACTAAAATTAAGTAAAAAATATCATTCACAAGCTGAAATATAGCTAGAGTATATTTTACATATGTTCTTAGACTTATTGCTTGTTTGCAGTAAATTATACTGCTATATCAGTAGAAATCATGCTATATAATTTTATTCCATTAATTCATTGATCATTTTTAAAGCATATTAATAAACTCGAGCATCGTAGAAGTTTACAAATATCTATTCGCTAAACTTGAAGCATTACATATAATGCAATCACTGAGCTGGTGCTGTATCTGCAGCTAACATTCTAAAATCTTTTAAATTTAAGATATACATTTATAAGTTATGGCTTTAATAATACAATTCAACTTTTAAGACTTATCTTGCTGCTTCTTGACTTATACTTCAGTTTTAAAGTACTACTATATTGCTTGATTGACTCGATATGTAAGAATATTATAAAAATCTGTAGCCTACACTGGCTGTCTTACTAACGTAAATCAATCAAGACTTTTATCATAACAGTTAGTTCTTTGTTTATAACTTAAATTTATATAAAGGAATCTTTACTTGTGTCTTGAGAATGCAATAAATATCATATTCAGTACTATTTGTGACTGTAAAAGGCCAGGCCAAAGATAACTCATCAATTTCACATATTGCACTCTTTAGACTTGGTATGAGAAAAACTAAAAACATACCATTTCTTTCCTATCCAAGTATTGAATTAGCGGATAACTATATTTAGTAGTATTCATCATAGTATTCGTCAAAGTAGAGAATAAATTATGGCAAACAGCCTTCCTTTTAGTTTAAGACCGCTAGATATTATTATCTTTACCTATTGCCAGTAGAAATAAATCGACTTTGAACGATCATAACCTTCAGCGATAATCTTACAAATTGAATTTTCAAGTTACAGAATTATTTATTAATATTAAAAAACTTTAGTAAACAGCTTATTATTATAGTATTGAAAAGAGTTTAAAAGCAAAAAAATAGAGACAAAAAATGCTATAAAATCTAATCTAGATAGAGTTTATTACTTCATCCAAGATAAATAGTGAGCTAAAGTTACAAGCTAAAAACTATGAAAGATAAATGAAAATAATATTTCAATTTTATCAAGCTAATTTTATTTTGTTTTTAAAACTCAATTAACTTCATTATCGTAAAGTATAGGCAGTGATATCTGCAAATTTTCTAAGTAACCATTACCAGGATAAACTTCTGGGCCACTGATTTTCTGATGGCAGCGAAGATAATAAATTATAATAATATTTTTCCTAAATAATTTCTTAGAGTAAACTGGTTCATTCGTTGAAACCAAGGACTTCATTTCTATCTCCTAATCATAATAAAGAGATTCAAGAAAAAGAAAAGGAAAGTAATAATCAATCACCAAATGGAGAAATTGAAAATAATGATTCTAGAAAAGACTATAACCAAGATGTAACTACGCCGGGTACTAGTGGTATACAACAAGATGACGATGATAGCAATAGCTATAGTGACGATCATAATGATGATTATGGAGGGAAAATGAAATTGTCACCAAGTAATCATAATTATACCAGCTCCATTAATCCTTTAGCAGTTAATGAGGAAATAGCTGAACATCAAAACGCTCCCTCGCAATCAGCGAATAGAGATGATGAATCCCCTTACGCTCGAATACGAGATCTACCAAATATAAAACATGGCGATTCTGATAATAGTGACGAGGATATAAATAATGATTCTAATCAGTATGCACAGCGAAAGCTTAGCTTCATGTCAACTAGAGCAAGACAGGTGAATAAAAAAATGAGTTAAACTTATACTAGTGTAGAAATATCATCTAAAGCCAGAATGGTAATGAGCAAGCGACACTTTCAATATGGAAATTCTTATACATCGGCAATATCAATTTAATAAATTTTAGGCATCTCCCTCAAATAGTGGCGATGAGTATGATCCTGGAAAAATTGTCCCAAGCAGCAATACTGGCAGCCATCCATCAAGAACTTCCATGATCAGTAAAAATAATAATCTTAATCCCGATCCGATGTATGCAACGGTCAATAAAAATAGTAACCGAATGTTGGTAAGTAAATCAAAGGCCTTGAGTTATACTTAATAATAGTAATCGTATCCCTCACTATCATCAGAAATACCAGAGTAAGCTCATGACATACTCATTTATTGGTAGTAAATAGATTAAAACTTTTTATGATGATATACTAGTGTTTTTACTTGAACTAATAGTAAAGTAGACATATACGAGTATGTTCATATTATCGACGACTAGCTTTTAAGATAAATTAAATAACGGTATAATCAACTACTATAAGTTAAAACAAGAAATTGAAGGAGGAAACTATTAAATTATTGCTGTAAAAAAAATTGTTTTCAACGCAACTCGAGGGCCGATGCAATCTTGAAACACTTTACTATTGGCAGTAACTATTATGTAATAGAGAACTGCTAAAATGAGTTTTACTACTGTTGTATAAGGATATTTCAGGGCGTTAGATATTTTTATGTAAGGTAGACAATCAACAATTAATATTAATTATTACGTTATGGCAAAATTATCGAAATGAATTATAATACCGTAGCATAGCTACATAGAATTGCAGCTATAACCAAGGATAGCAATTCATGACGTTAGACAGTTTAATCTCGTCAATACTATACAGTAGTAAAGTGTTGAAATGAATTATACAACCGTTGCTCATATATAATTTTAGCTATAATCAAGACTATTATCTTATAATTTTAGACATTTCCATCTGGTAGAGTAAAGTAAAATAAGAGTAGTTACCAAATTGATTTAAACAAGATATTGAATCACTCAGTAAAGTAAAATTCTAGTTAATACTGTGTAGATTGTTTCAGTATAAAAATTTCTAACCATAAATACGATGCTAGGTCATCCTAATAGACAATTCTTTCCAGTCTAGCAAACTAGAACCGAGTTATTATTCAGCTGATCTAAATATGACTCTTTTGCTTTCCTAGAAACAACTAACTGTAGAATCTAATGCTAGCGATTTTACAAATGTAACTAGCCGCATAAGTTCCGATAGTAGTGAAGAAAGCCAAAGTGATGAAGCTGATGGTGTGAGAGAACGAGGTAGTCTATTCGATCCTTCGAACTCTATTCAAAATTATTAGGCAGATATTAATCAAGAACTAACCTCTAATTTATTGCTCCTTTTATGTTAATGAAAATATAACCCGCAATCAACACTAATATATGCTACAACATGCAATTAGGAATAATAGAAAAGAATAGAAGAAATTCGGGCTCACCAACTAAACGTGATGCAATTTTAATTTCTAACAAAACTGGTAATGATCCCATAGATGAAAAATATGCTGACTCTGAAACTTCAGAAGAGGCTTACACCCAACCTCAAGTCCTTCCTAACCAAAGAGTAACTACTCTAGTAGATAAAAACAAATCGAAACACGGTGCAAATAGTGTCGATGCTACACCAGCAGAGAACAAGAAATTTGGGCGAAAGTCATCACATAGCTTAACATCATCACTATCTAATTTTTTTTCATCGGCTTTATCTGGTATTCATAATGATCGAAATTCTGTCAGTAGCCCCGTATCACGCAATCCTAGCCAAATTTTCACCGATTATGATGGACGAAAACGTAAAGGTGATGCACCTACCATATCTACAACGAATCGTGGACGACATCTGAGGAAATCTGATTCATTGGAATACAGTAAGTTATCGTTACTTACACGCACATACCATATTTCCATCTACTAAACATCTTTACAACATTACTTTTAAGATGATTTTACTATCGATAGTTCACCAAGAATGGGAATGAGGTTGGTTTTTATTAACGTCAATTTTTCAATAGAATAACTTCCAAATCATCGTAATACTAATATTATAATTTATAGGGGAATGGAATCCGAAATTATATTATCGCTAGAAAGGCAAATTAGAGACGTAGAATCGGAGAATAAACAGCTGAAAGACACGAATTCCATGTTACAGAAAGAATTAAGTAATCGTTCACTACCATTAGCAGAAGAGAGTAAGTTATTCAATAAAAATATTGAAATGATACTTAAGTATTTAAAAAAGGAACAGTTTCCATTAAAGAGTGTTGATTATCTATCCTAGATATTAAATCTGAGTTGATCAACTCTGATCTAAAACAAGATAACGAATTTTTAAAAGTATTAGGTAAGAAAGATTTAGTAACGACGTTCTTACGATCATATTATGTACAAGTATTCCTAATTTTTTCTAACTCTTCATCGCTATGCTGGAATAGAATTTAAAATTTACTTTACTTACCTTAACAGTCCATAAATTAAACCAAGAACTCGAACGTTATAAAATGAAACAAGCTGAAAGTGAAACGGGAAGTCAAGACTTACTGGTAACTAAATATAGTAATTATATTATAGGCTGTAATTCTTAACTCTATCGATGTGCTATTTATTCTCATCTTTAAATTCATTCGTTGTTTAATTTAAGAAACAGCTATCGTAGAAGTATCGATACAATTTTTCTCCTATTACTAATCCGATGTTATGATATTACAGACGGAGAAAATCAATGCAGAAGATAAGCGACTGGTTGAAATTAAATCTAGAAAGAAGGATCATTTACTTAAAACTTTTTCGGTTAGTTATTGAATTTAAATCACGATTATTGCAAAGTACAGCACAGCAGTGGATAACTTATTCAAAGCAATTGACATAAAATCTAATATAGGAAGAAGTAAAGGTATTAAAAGAGCAAATTGAAGACTTGGTGAGCGAAAATAAAGCATTACGAGAGGTAACATAAATCGAAAGTTAACCTTAAACAGTCGATAATTTTATATCATTAATGGTGAAATCAAATTTTATGGCTATCATTATGGCAGGAATTGGTAACGATCAATGCAACAACTGCTCCAGTTAGTATATCAGATTGGTAAGAAATGATAGGGTCCTTGCGTTTATATCGTGCTTAGGATCACGAGCTATGCTGTTATAATAACTACGGTGATTACTTTTATTTAAGGAATCAAATACAAGAACAAGCACAGCTCGTTTTACAGGAAAACTCTGTTTTAAAGGATAGACAAGCATCATCTGAAAGTAATTTACAGGAAATTACAAGAAAATATGCTGAACAAAGTATGATATTTTTAAAGAATCTATTTGAGTTGTAAGCAATCAGCAGATGATCAATTTTAGCCTACTTTGCAATACAAGTTTGATTGATAGCTTTAAATGTCAGATGAGATTATTTTTAGACATTCTTGCAATTATGGGATCGTAGAAAGCAGATAGAGGATAATCAGAGTCCATTTGCAGCAGAGCAGCTTTTATGATAAATAGAATTGAGTCTACTTTAGATGCAATTATTTTCCGATATTCTAGCCCGCGTGACACAATATTAATCATGTAGTAGAGAAGATCTTTAGATTTTTGTTGAGGCAGAGCAATTGTTATAAATAGAGTATTTAAATCTATTCCATTAGTGTGCATAAATTATTATAATATTAAGTAGATTGTAGCCAAGATATTAGAAAAGGCACCAGATGTCAATAATTCTAACAAATGCAATACCTTACATTAAGTAAAATTAAAGCCAACATTCCTTCAAAAGAGAGCTTTCAAAAGAGCATCATCTGGTTATTGAGCCATCATGGTATTAATTGCATAGCCAACAAAATAATTAGAATATACTTTATATAAAGAAAATTAATCCTAGTAAATGAAATATTTAACATCTGATTAAGTTCAGTATCGTCATATGAAATCACATAATATTATTAGGATCATAGAATATTTCAATGAAGGCTGATCGATGTAGAATAGTTTTTATATACTAGTTCTGTAGCGTAAGTTTAAGTCAGACAACCCAATTAGTAACTATGCATTGGCTTTAGATATTACTTTTGGAATAAATAACGGTACCTAATTTCATACTCTAATTCATAAATTGAATCTCTCCTTATAGCTTTTACTTTTCCTTCGTCCTGTAATACATAACATTTTCTGCCCAATTTCTTCCGCTCAATTTCGAATATTTTGCAATATTAATTCTATTGGTGGATTAAATTTATTTCTAGTTGATTGCCTCAATCAGAATATTCAAGACTTAAAAGATAAAATATTAGAGATTGAATCCAGACCCGACAAACGAAATGAAATGCTACTACAGAAATATGAAAAATTAATTGCCGTGTCTGATAAGAAAATTGATACTCATGAACATTTGAGGATTATAGAAGAAAAAAATAGGTAATTCTAGTCACAATTTCATAAACTTACCGTTATTTCTGATCACTGTAGGCAAGATAATATAACATAATACTGTATAATTACATTACATGCATTTAATATAAAGGTCTATGATCGAATTGCAAACGGAATATAACAAAATTATAACGGAATTAAAAAATGACATCCAGGTAATTTTAAACGTACCATACTAGTAGTTAAGAATCGTAGCTATTCTGTAATTGAATATTGGCTATCCTCCATATCATCATTTTCTATCTCTAACTGATATTGAATTCCTTTTATTGCAGTCTGAAAAGAGGGAAAAGCGGGCTTTAACTCTACAATTAATTGGTAGTTTTTCTTACTTACAATCAATACCTATAGTAGTTTATCTATTAACACTAAATTAGTATATTTCAAGCCATGTCATTACCCAATTTAGAGACTACAGAAGCTGCCGAACAATTACAAAAAGTAGTGAAATTATCACGATCAGAAATTGGGTAATACAATCTAAAATTGGCCTGAATATTCATAATGCTACAATTGCTCAGCAATTTAAATTGTGTTCATTGTTACATAATCCTGTTGAGCAAATAGCATAATTTACTTTGAATTTATAATCCAAAATTTCTATATTGTAGTCTAGATATCATAGTGTATTTTAATATTGTTGAGTTAATCGAGTTCGTACGGGTATATTGACGACTTTAGGAAAATCTAATAGAAAATGTAGTTACTCAAGATTTACTGATAATATTCATCTTTTAGAAAAAGCCAAAAGAAAATCATTGTATTAAGTAAAAAGTTAGATTTAGCCGAAGAAAAGGCAATGCTAACTACATCCAATCTAGCTGATCTTCTCAAAGTGGTCAGTTGTTATTTTCTTCTAAGTTATTATAATTTGATACCGTGTAAAATTGTCTGGGAATCACCAATGTTAACTTATCTGTTAGGCTGAAAAAACCACCTTCGAAAGAGATTTAATCGCTACAAAGGTTACCGTTTAATCGATATTATTCTCCTGCAACCTAGGTTATCAATTAATTGTTCTAGCCTTACTTTGAATTCTTATGCCCATTTATATTGATGTTAATAGGCCAAGAAACACCGAGAAAATTATGAAAAAGCCCAGCGCCAGGTTCAAGAAGGCCATCTGGAAATTAATAAATTGGAACAAAAACTTCGGGTACTTGATCTGTAATGGTTTCGATATACTCTCTAGAGCTAATTTTGTTGGTAAAAAATGCACTGCTAGAGCCTTTAATTAATACTAACTAGAATATAAAATTCATTTCCAATATAGCGCTATGAAATTACAACCTATCAGAAATTGGATAAGGCTGCAAATAAGTACGTTGATATTTTATTTCATTGAACTCCAATAAGCTAATTGAAATAAGACTATCCTACAAATAAATGAAATTTGATATTCACTGCACAATAACAATTTCCTTCTCTATTTTATATCTTAAGGCTGGCCAAGCAAGACATGATTCATGGTGAAAAATTTATCGAATATCAGTATGAAATTGATCGTTTACAAGAATTGGTCAAGAACAAAGATGTCCAACTTGATTCTCTTCTAGACCAAAAATGGTATGATTTCTAGTTTTGAGACTGTGAATAAATTTATTCGCAGAGACAGCAGCGAACTCATTCCCCTCTCAAAAGGAAATATTAAGCTAGCTGATAGACAAAACCTATAAAATCGCAAGAAGGAATTGATTATTTCCTTTCAATATTAAACTAATAGGAAAGTTGAACGACAACTTGATAACTTATGGTACGCAGCTACTAATGATGCTGATAGAATTCCTTTGAAAAATCAATAAGTCATGACTACCAAGAGTGACAATGGATCATTCTCCGGAAGATGGATTGGATTTTCTTCCATTTAAGAAAATGAAAGTATAGAATGAGAATTATTTCAATCCATAGTATTGTATTCTTGCCGCATTCTTGAGTTGATCATATCAAAAATTTGTATAAGTTATTTTCGAAAAGAATTTCAATAAAAAATAATTGTAAAATGGATGAAGAAAACTGTAAATAAGATTTGATCAATCAAAACTATAGTATAAAAGAGTTCTTGTATTATGAGAGTGTCACAAACTTATGTTGCGAATTACTACACTAAACTAATAGATTATTTATGCCTTGCTCCACTACACCTGGAGATCTACTGTATGGTAGTTCTTTACTACTTTCGGTCACACTGGGATAAGACTGTTCTAAAAGATTAGTATAGTTTTTATTAGTAGAGTAGCCGAGTACCTTATCGAACACGATCTAATAAGGAACTCAGGAACTGAGCATTCGCTCGTCCTTTTATACCATTCCACTAAATTTATGGTGCACACATAGTAACTTGACAATATAAGATTTACATGGTTTGTATAGGAGGACAAGCCTCAATAAACTATATAGTTTACTATAGATACAAGCACGTAAACAACTTTAATTAGCAATAACTAATTAATATCCAATTATACCCTTGAGGCTCTGCACGATAATCACGATAATCGCGCGATAAATGCGCGATAGTCGCACGATAAATGCATGATAATCGCGCGTACGCAGCGGGCACTAACGTGTCGCCATTATTAATATCTACTGTATATAGGCTCTACTAATTAATTGCAAATACAATTATGCCTTTCGTTGTCTAGCAATCTAGACATTATTAATATTCTTAATTTCAATTATCGCTTACCAATATAATCCATTAGCTAAATACTGACAAAATCTATTTAATTAGCAAGTACGGTGCTTTGCTCCGTAACAGAGAGCAATTCCATTTCAACGTAAACCCATGGAAATGCCGACGCGCAGAAAAAATAGCTGGCATTAAATCTCTTATAACGAAAAATAAGATATTGACAGGCTAAAATTGTTTAGAATATTGTTGAATATGGATGCAGTAAGTAAATTTTTCAGTCATCTCCTTATTAAAAGTACTACCAAACGAGTAAATTGCTTAAGATGGTACCGTAAATGAGCTATGATTTAAATATTTACACCATCGTTGAATATGTACACAATAAGGAAATTCTCTAATCATCTCTTTAAAAGTACTACCAAATCAATAGATCGCCTGGATAGCGCCGCAAATGAGCTATGATTCAAATATTTAGAATATTGTTAAATACGGATGCAATAAGTAAATTCTTCATTCATTTCTGTAAGAGTTATGCCAAATGAGTAGATTGCCTAGATGGTATCGTAAATAGGCTATGATTGAAATATTTTGAATATCGTTAAATGTAGATACAATAAGTAAATTCTTTATCCATCTCTATAAAAGCACTGTCGAACGAGTAGATTGCTTAAGATAGTCGATGACCCAAGGTTTAAATATACAGAATATCGTTGAATATAGATACAATAAGTAAATTTTTTCATCTATCTCTGTAAAACTACTGTCAAACGAGTAGATTGCTTAACCAGTTATATTAAAAGAGAGAATTTTTCTCTGCAAAGATAGAGTTTGTATGGAACAGCGTCCTGCAAATCGGCCAAACTCATATGGAAGGGTTAAATGTAATATCTGTGTCAGCGAAACGATAGGAGTTTATGCTTTTCAATGCTAAATTTATCCAATCATGGTCGCATTACGTGATATTAATTTGCTTCTGAAGGCTTTGCAAGTATACTCTACACTAAAATGAGCAGTAAAGAGCCACATTAAACCAACTATTCAAACAAGGATAACTCCTAATTATGGAATAGCTTTTATTTCAACCTAGCGAAAGCAATAGTCCATTTTTATAGCTTTATAAATTGGATCATGAAGAGAAGAAAAACAACATGGAAACAATTTCGATACCATGAGTTTATTCATCACAGAAATTAAAGCCAAAAACAAATTCTTATGGTTACTGTCATCTTTTAGTCCTAAAGGTATAAATCACAAAACAGTAGGAGATAACAAATTCTACATTTCCTTTCTAGCGATCACTTACAAACTTAATCCTAAAATAAATTCTACTTTAACTTTCTAGTTACCACTTCCAGAGTTAATCATAAAACAACAAATGCTATTTTTCCTCTCTAGCTACCACTTATAAAGTTAATACTAAAGTAGCAAATACTAGTTTTACTTGCTAGCTACCACTTACAAATTCAATACTTAAATAAATCACTTACAAGTAACAACTAGGAGATTAAATTTATAACTAACCCATAGCGTTAAAAAAGTCAATTTGGAAGGCATGAAATTACTCTACCTGCATTCAATATTTAAGAAGCAGTCGGTATATTCGGGTTAAAAATTTCCTAGTGGAGTCTAATCAGACTCTTTATAGAGTAATTTATCCACGCTTTAGGTACGTAAAGAATCTAAAAGAAATGACTACAACTAAAGCTATAATCGAAGAAGCTTTTGTAATTTATCCCACCTCTGAGGAATGTAAAGGAATCGCTAAAGGGAACAGTAAAACTATAGCTAAAATTATCAATTTCTGTAATTTATCCACTTTATTATATATGTAAAAGAATTAAAATAGGAACAGGAGAACTAAAACTAAATAATACAAATTTTCTCGACCTCTAATTTTTAAACAATTTTAAATCCTTTCTTAAAAATCAATTCGTATAGAAAAAAGAAATGCCCAATTTATATTCCATTGCTACGCTATGAAAACTCGATACTATCCATAGCCAGCGAAATAATTCAATATCTAAAAGCAATAACGTATTAAACGAGGCATTTAATAAAAGCTATAGCCGATGAAGTCAAATCGACGTGATTCTAACTATTTCAAAAGATTTTTTTCTTCTAAAACTAACATAGACAAACGATAGTAATAAGAGTATTTCCCCTAAGCAAATAGGATGGTAATCTTACACTAGGTAAAAACAGCAAGTTTATATTGAAATTTAGGCTACTTGTTGAAATTCTGCCAATTCTTGGATCTTGTGAGACAATTTTTGAAACATGGCTAAGAAATCTAATCGACGTTTATTTAAAGTAATGGTACAGTCGCTTTCCAACGACGAAAATTAACGGATAATAAAAGCAACTTTTCCCTTGTTAAGCAAGTGATTTCCAGTTCATCTTCCAGCGATGTTGGTAATCTTACAAATCAGTCTCTGCGGAAGATCCTGCTCTTTTATAGGCTTTTTTAGGTTGTTTGGATGCCTTTGCATTTTTAGATCGATTGGCAGTTTTCGAGTTGTTATCATCATTAGGAGTATTGGAAACCTTTGAACTACGATGATTTACCGAATCCACTATCTCTTCAGAATTTATAACCTGAGCAGCTTTTTTTTCCTTAGGTCCACTGGCAGTTTTCTTTGATGCTGATTCCATCTTTGGGCTTTCTTCATGCTTAGAATTTCTACCAGCTTTCGTTGGAGTAGAATGATTGACTGATTTCATTATAGCTTTCTCTTGATCATGATTTTGCTCCGCCGCTGAATGCAAGGAATTTGCCGAGTTATTTTCTACAATTGGCTCGCCATTGGATTTGACTACTTCATTTTGTTGTATTTTCGATGATTGTTGACTTTGATCAACGCTTGAACGAGATAAATTTGTTTGAACTACTTCGTTACTTTCTACTTCTGAATTTGATGAACTTGCCTGAATTAGCTTATCATTTTCTACTTCTAGTTTTTCATTCGATTGGATCATTTTTTCATGCTGTTGTTGGTCTTGTTCTACCTTTGAATCAGATGAATTTACTTGTACTATAGGCTTATTTTCTGCCTCTACTTGATCATTTTGACCATCAGCATGAGTTTTATGGTCTAATTCTTGCTTGCTACTGATGGCTGTTTTCTCTTTACTTTGCTCCACTCCATCACCGTTCACTATCGCCATTTCATTAGCAAATTTATTCAACCCGACATGATCCTGATTAGATAGATGATCCGCATCAACGACGTCTTTTCCATCTGCAATTTGTTGCAATGGTTCAGTTGAGTTATTCTCATTATCACTGGCTTGTTGTGTTGCATCCTGTTCATCATCACCTTTCTCAGCCTTACTTTCATTTATTTTCTTGTATTGAGCTAAATCTTTCAACGGTATACCTATAAATTCTTCTTGACGGAATTCGGTATCTCGCATTTTATCGATATCGTCTAAGCTACTCGTTCTACGATGACGCATTCGTTGAAGACGTAGTAAAAGTAAATTCTCATCAGAGACTTGTTTCTTCACTTTATCACTGGTTTTAATACACCAGATGACTTGTTTTCGATTCTCCTCATCTATCCCTAGATTATCCTCTAAACACTGTTTTAATAATTCAGTTGCTTCAAGATTCTGAGCTTTGGATGCCTTAATAAGCCACTCAACACCCGTCCTGGCCGAAGCTCCATGAAAGCTATCCGATAGATGAAGGCGGCCAAATTTGACTTGGCTGCGTATATTGCCACTTTCAGCTGATTTTTTTAATGTTTCCAAATCTTCTTCTTCGATTCGGTTTTTCCGAAATAGACCAGATAATGGTGGCCGCTTCGGTTTATTGGAAGCTGGGTTATGCATAGGAACGGTGCCATATAATTGAGCGGCTTTTAAGTTCTCTTCATCAATTTGACGATCTTCCTCAACTGTAGAAGATTCTCCTACAACACCACGGCGACGTTGGCGCCATGAAGAATATTTATCTACAATTTTCCTTTTAGCTCTTTTCATCGCTATCCACCTCAAATTGAAATCAACCTGTACGACAATCCTATGATCAATCTTATACAGGAAAAATTCAAGGAATCAACTCGAATTGATTGGTTTGTTGTTGTTCAATACTAGTTTAAATACAACCTAAAAACATATGGTTATATTGATTTAGGCGTATTGGTTGTCATCAGCTATTCAAGATGGATGGAGCACAGAAACTTATTTCTCATGCTACTAACGAGCAATGGTAAAAATATTTATTTACATAGAATTTTTTTATTGTAACGGTGTCGCCAGGTTGGCTCAAATAGAAATAATAACCCTTGCTAGCTGAAATTACTGAAAACGATTATCAAGCAACTTCTTTAGTGGACTATCATCAATTAATTTATAGAAAGCTCAATAAAATAGAGAGGGGAAAGAGTAGCTAAAAGCAAATACGTTACGTTAATATATTGCGTCAGAATTATAGTATTCTAACAATTAAGTAAAGCCTAGCGTGATTTCAATCCTAAATTTCTTTGGTATTTGCAACAGCGAAAAAATTAAACTACACTAATGTAGATCAGTTGCTCGATTTGACTCTTTCCCATCCAATAGCATATCGTCAACGATTTCATACCATACGGTTTTCATTTTAGATGATATCACTATTTATGATTAATTTAATTAAGCATGGAGATCTACTCCTATCGTAATGAATATTACACTAATTACTTGTAATATTTCAACGTCAACCTGTAAGAACAATTAGAGAAAATTAAATCATCAGTATTTACTTAACCCTATGTACAGGCATAAAAAGTAAGTTTCTTAATTAATTATAATAAGTATTCCGATAAATCGTTACGCAAAATCGGCTAGAAAATATTGGAATAGTTGCTAACAATCATTATATCGATTTCAATATTTCGACTTAAAATCATGAATGTGTTCAATAGGAATAGAGATACCATTAACGATCACTTAATTCCATATTCAATCTGGAATGATATATTTTCTGCTAATTTAATTATCCTATTTGATACATCTCCATTCACTATGAATGCATTGAATACGGTACTATTTAAGTAAAGATACCGTTGAGTATCATATTTTCTGCTAATTTCATCAAATTGTATCATTTTAATTTATTGTATGAGTATAGAAAGAACGAGCTCGAAGCTCATTTTACAAAATAAATATTCTACTCGTATATTATAAGCAACCTTTCGAAAACTTGGATAGTCAATCTTTTTAGCGAATCACATCAAATTACAATCCTGAAATAGACCATTAATGGAGCCTCGATGCCTAGAAATCTAACATTTGGCAAATACTTCTACGTCATTGCCAACCATAGCATAATATGAAATGTATTTAATGACGTAGGATGATAAACTGTTTTAGTCATCTTTCTCATAACTGAATTTATAGTTAAAACAGGAATCAAGCGGCCTTTGATATAGAATTTTGCATACATAGTGATAATTCTACATATTTCGTTATCGGATACAATATTATTACCATCTAAAAGAACCTATATTTCATTCTTTATTATTAGGAATAAGAAATTTAACGCCTCTAAATGACCTTGGCTGTCAGTTACAATAATAATTCAGAATTAACCTATTTAAAAAAATGCATTTACGTATCCTATACATATGGTGACTCATTGCTATCTAATTTACCATGCGGCAATTTCATTACATATTCATCTTAACATAGTAATATAGATTCTATATCTAATATAGGATAAGATATATACATAAGAATAATAGATTAATCTATATAGAAAACTAATCATAACGATTAAATTGATATTGATCTATCAGTGATTAAATTCTCTCCATATTTTATTCAAATTCTCAAATTGAATTTGCTCGATTCCACTTATGAAAATCTGGTAAATTATAAAACAGAACTACCCAAACTACTCAGCTCATTTGATAATTATATAATTTATTAGTGGCTTTAAACAATGTGGCTACCTGTAGATTGTTAAGTAATCACATCTTTAAGAGGTCATTTTTAATCCAATATTGAGTCGTATACCCAAACTCAATGTCTTAACGATTAATCCCTTTAACTTACATGTAAGTTTAACCTGCTTTTGATGATCAATGAATTAGACTGTATATTCACCAATTTATAAGCTGATAACATTACCGTAACCTATGAAAATAATTAACTTGATTTGAACTTAAGTTAAAAATGTAAATTAATCTATCCTCAGATTTTAGCTATAAACTCAACTTACGATAGTAAATATTTTATAGTAAGACACGGAACATTACTAACTATAAATCTATGGATTCTATAATTTCTCATTAACAATCTAGCATGTGGCGAGATATTTCTACTCATTTGCAAGGTATTTAATAAATAGCGCTAAAGATTAAAATAACAAAAGTATAAATTTGGGTAGAGTTGCAGATCTATTTATTTATGCTGGTTAATAAGTAACATTCGAGGGCATCTTAATGAGATTTATTCCAAATCCAAGTTTCAATTTGTTATTGTAACTACCAAGCATGTAATTTGATCTAATTTGTGCCATCTTCTATGGCGTACTAACCGATCCTAATAATTTTCAATTGATAGTCTGTAATTTAAAGCAGATATGTAAGTCAACTATTCTCAACATATATGGGTTGATAGATTTATTAATTGAAAGGTTTTAAATCTTTATGGTACCGGTACACACAAAATATCAACTGTAACTACTCTATCAGCTAAAATCAGATTAAATTAAAGAAATCAAATATTGACTAATATTAGAAATAAAGAATTTCAGTATTGAATTACAATATTTGCTAATTAGATTGCATTTAGAGATACGAATATTTTGATTCATATAGCGGACGAAGCCTGTCTGAATGACCTCCAAAGCTGTAGTATAGTATAAAGTGTATACAATTATCTTTAGAGAACATTGCTGACTTTAAGTACAGCACCTCTAGAAAGGAATATATCCAGGAATGACTTTCAGAATACAATCTCTTCAAGTAGAAGAAATAAAAGCTGTAATTGACATTCTTATTATAGTGCGACTAGTTTTATTAAATGTTCTTGTATTAAACTAAAAAAATTATGGTAGTGATTGATTCGCAAATTTAAGTTGTTACCAAATATCTAGTAAAGCGGTATAATATACGTATTTCAAAATAGGTAAGTAGTTACTGCCATAAACTCAAATAGGTATCGATAGAATTTATTACACTATAATTGATTTATACTTATCCTATATATATAAATTTATAGCAGTTAATCCATTTTTCAGTGATTATTACAAAATAAAAAGTATTTAACTTCATTAAAATTGTTCTTAATTTTTACGTATCAGACCCGAATATTAAATTTTTACTTTAGATTATAACGTATTTGAAATAACATTACGACTTTTTAAGCATATATGGGTGTAAGCAATTGATACCCTACTTGCTAATTGCCACAATATGCATAAAAAAGATTTTGATTCACCTTTAACTTTTAGCTCAAAGAAACAACATACTGTGTATTGTACATAGACACCCTCCACATTAGGGCTACATTCTATTGATGTCAACATAATAAATGATAAACAAGTTCTTAATATATTCATATACCCCAAGCTTAATAGTATTTCATCATCTATCGACATCTACCCTACCCTTTTGTGTAAACAGATATTTACCTCTAAGTTATAGCATCTTTGTGTATAAAGCGGGGCTCAATATTAGAAAACATCTCAAACTTTGAAGTTATATTCATAAATAGTTAGTAAATCTAGATTTTGATAAAACTACTATCTTACATTTTTAAAGCTATATGAGTTACATACAATTATTGTATGGTTAATATACTGATCTATTATTATAAATAATAATAGTGTAACATTTATATATATATATATGAACTATATATATCAGAGCGTAATATTAGACAACACCATGTCTTCGAAGTTTTATTCTCTGATTTTAATAAAATTTGAGATCTCTTTAGCCTAGCTCTGGAATTAATCCTGTCAATTAGCGGTTGTACGCACATCACTTTATAGATTATTAATATCTTTACATGCTCTCGCTCGAATGGATATTTATCTCCAAATGATATTGCGCAATTTGGAACTTTGAACAGGAGCTCAATATCATTAACCATAATATTTAATGTTTAATATTTTACCCTTACTCAATTTGTTTCTAATAAGCAACATTCAACTTTTAAAAATTTTCATTATATTGGATAAGATCATNTTGTTCATTTTCTTATACAATTGGCACGATAGAATAGAAAATCCAAGCTCTTTATATGAATATCATTGACATTATATTGTATGCTTGTGTTAATTTTGGTTTTGGTGCATAATTATTCGCGAGAGAATGTTTAAACTCTTAAGGTATCTTTATAGCTATACTATTATATAGCAGAACATAAAAATCCCTAACCGTAAATACATTTTTTAAAATATATTAAATTGTTACAATATGATAACATAAGCTCTACGTATTTCAACTCACAAATTTTATAGACTGATCATGTATTTGTATACTTTCAGTTCTACAAGCAAATTACTACGATGCAAAGGCAGTGTAGAAACAGTAGTACACATACTGTATAAACCAACAACTTATAGTTAAGATCAGGACCGATATTATTTATACGACAAGTAATATCATAGTTTCGGTTTTATAACAAGCTAATTGATGGCAAACCATCATCTTTCTATTACTTCATCCTGACTTGAGCACAACATACTGTTTAAGTGACATTTACAACTCTTTCAGCCGATTATAACTGCTATATATATATATATATATTGAATGGAGTGAGATTCTCTTCTTGTATACGTAGTAGGAAGCCAACGCAAAAAGTTTTTTCAAATTTTTACGTACGATTATTACTTACTTAAGTGAACTTGTTAATATTAAACTGTTAGTTGATAGATACTATGACAGCTTAATTCGTTAAGCTTGTTTTCACGATTAAATTAGCAGAGTTTAGATGCTATACAAATATGATAAGGTCAAGATGAAATCTAAAATAGACCTTTAAAGCAA